AGAGATTTTTCGCAGAAAAGGCACCTACTGACGTATTTAATTTAAAAATATCTTTGCTATGGCAGGAATTCACTGCATGCACCAGTTCCATCTTTAACAGTAGTATAGGGTACAACAAATATATTAGTAATGGGGCTGGCTATATTATATATATATATTAAACAGATATAAATATGTTAGCAGCAGATATAAATGTGTTAATGATGTGAATTCACTAAAAATATGTAACATACTTTCAAAGAATATTGAAACACTGGGTGATAAACAGATACTATTCCAACAGTTACCAAAAAAAGAACTTCTTAATTCCTTGTCTTTTAAAAATATGATAAATATAGCTTCCCATGATGTTTCTAGAGAAAAATACGTGCATATTTGACCGTGGAGTATTATTACAATTCAAACATTTACAATTACAAACAGACGGCCATTGTGTCAAAAACACCTCTATGTTTTCTCTTTTTTTGCTCACGAAGTTGACCTTTTCTTAGAGAATTAGCTTTACGATGATTATCAATTTCACTTGTAAATTTAAGCTTTGCAAGATTCTTCCTGTTTTTGGGAAAAAGCACTTGATTCTAGCTTGTTGTGTAAAAAACTTGTAATTATTTTTTGGTTAATCACAAACATATTTGTACGTTTATATGCTATCCAGTTCGAGTAAAAACAGTAGCCTATTGAACGTATAATTTTTGCACTGCACTTAGATCAATGCAAACCAGTATATCATATAGCTGGTTATAACATTTTGAAATATCGGAGAAACACTGTTTTAAGCACACGGACAAAAACCACGTTGATTCGCCTGAAAGTCGTGCAGTATATTTGCTGAGTAATAATAATTCTTCACAATTAGAATCCCTTAAACTTACTTAGCTCAAGCTGCTGTCATTGCATTTCAAGTTAGTCAACTTCCGCAGTAATCTATGAATAATTTTATAATAGTAACCGTGTGTCAAGCGATACTGGTAAGTGTGAACACGCTGAGCGTCACTTAAACATTCTATATACAAAAAATCCCAAAATTAAATTTTTAGGCCCTTAGGGTACCAAAACTACTAATAATACAACGATTCAAAACGTTTAATAAATATAAAAAGTACAAAAAACACAAGGTCTCCAAAAAATTTTTCATCGGAACCTATTTGGGCCACCCAATCGACAATCGATATTCCCCGACCATTAAATTCCATTTAGATATAGTATACATTTTTATGCGGAATTTGGTACATTTTCAAGCCGTTTTAATCTAGATTCTATGGAGGATTTTGCAGTTCCTTGTTTGCAGAGGTCTTGTTCGGACTTTCCAGAAGCTGCACGACAACTAGAAATAACATAAATTGTTGATTTTGGACAAAAAAAGAAACTTCACGGTTTCGGTGGAGGTTTGTTCCGCGTAAACGCATTGGATAATAGCTGATGTTCGCTCAAATTTCGAAAAGACGCACTATTTTTTGCCATAATAGGTACGCTATTTTATCTTGGAAAAAGCTAACTTTCCTTTGGGACCAAAAATTACGAGCGAACGCATCTCTGCTTCAACAAACAGCCCGCTAAAATTTGTCCGAACCATGTATTTATCTATATATATATTCATATCAAATATTAATATCAGAATTTTTTTGCGATCAGTTCTTAAGCTGTAGGCAATGCACAGACGCATTGTCTACAGCTTCAGTATTTCGCCATGTATGCAGACATAGAAGATGAACGAGCGGACACCAAGCATTTTTTTACGCACCTTCCTAAAATGTTGTTGAATGTATATATTGCCATGTCAGATCACATTATGTATTATAATCTGATCTAATCCACTTGTTAAAATAGCAGATAGGCGAACCAATATGTTCTGGCCCGGAAGAGCTGTCTCCATGCTATATAGAAGTATCTAATTCACACTGTTGTATCTACTTACTGCTACGAGGCTTCCAAAACTAGCGGCGACAGCGCACAGCATCGATTGCATGCTATGCCAACAGTGCTTGATAGCCAACGTTTTCATTTTCCTTTCGAAATAGGCCTAGCTAGATATCCGCCAATTGCCGCGTGAAAATTGAATCGAGTAAAGTAGTTCTCTTGCATCAAATATGTTTTTTGGCCGGAGCTATTGTTGACAAAGAAGAAGTATGTTGCCTTTCTGTTTCTAAGGCTTGCGGTTCTTCTCTGACAGCTCCACGTCTTTCGACAAACTTCTTCGCATTTTTAAGTCGAAATGACTACAAAAATTACCTGTCCAGATAACAACGTTAAGTTATCGATGTTTTTCCATACCTATATACATGGACGTATGTCGACGTGTATGTATAATTAGTCGTCAAAGTAGCTCGATGTCCTATATTTCTAGGAATCTACCTGAAAATAAAACAGGAAACTGGTAATAATTCATCGGGAAGAGATAAATATGCCATGAGAAAATGCAGCTAACTAAAACAGAGCAGGTCATCATAGCGCCAAACCAGTTTAGTTACATATTCCATTCAGTCTTTTATGCTGATAATACCCGTACATTATGCTTGTATGCCCTACTGAGGCGTTTTCGGCTACGTTTAAGAAGGAGGCTAAATACACCCTGTACCTAAAGCAGAATCTTGCTATGGGGCTTTCGTCATATGGCCGGAACGCATTTTGCTTCAAATGACTGCAATATGTATTCTCAACGTGCATACCAAATGAGGATACTTATAGCAGGTATTCTCTGGCCATCAATTTGCTAGTATTGGAACACTATTTATTTATAAGATTGACAAACAGTGCAACAAACGCGTTTTGATCGTGCGTAAATATTTAGGAGCCTCGAAATTGTATTTACTTAATCAAAAGGGCCTCTTGGGGGCAGCTGTCATTTGGCGCTGTATCTAGCAATGGTACTCACCAAAAGGCCAGAGCATCTTATCTTTAGAAAATGGAGCAACCTTACTTCAGCTCCTGCATTAGCGTGCTGTGCCTAACAATAACAATTCTTACATGAAACCTATTGTCGAATCACTGCTAACCACACCTTATCAGAGTAAACTTAAGCCGAATATTTTGAAAATGACCTCTTAATCCGGCCCAAGACGCATTTTTACCGCCAATCACATACCATGTTTCAGTAAAACTAACACATTTAATACATCATTCTCACGCAAACACAGCTGTTTAGTTGCGTACGTGCATAGAAACGTACAAAGATTATTATTATTTGCGTTCCGAACAAGGGGTTCGGTTTTACTGAAGGTGTCGTGGTCCTATCATTACCTGGGTAAGTGATGTCAGCACCGGACACTTTTTCTGACGGCGTCAAATATGTATCCCCCATTTGCGCTTTCCGTACGCACGTACGTACGTAAATTTTGCCACGGCAGAAGCGTCCCACGCGGCCAAACAAAGGTACAAATGACATACAGAATGAATGATAAGCGGCGACTAATGGATAGCGCTAGCAGCAGTTTTTGACAAAGCCAGGGCAAATAACATCACCCCAGCAGCAGCGAAAGAAAACACATTTCCTAAAAAGAGGACAAGACAGGGTAATACATCCATAAAAGGCCTGCTCTCAGACGCAGCTGCATAAAGAGCGAACAAGTGCAGCCTATACAATGTTTCCGGATGGACTGATGAAAGACATATATATATTTGTTTCGCGTGCAGAGTGATTGTTTTTTGAATTAATCAGGTACCATTTCAATTGTAAGTTTAGGTTTAGGTATGCCCCCCCCCCCCCCCCCCCCGTATGCGCGGTAATTTTTCATCGGAAAAATCAGTCCACCTCTAAAAAATGTAGTAACAAGCAACATTACTAAAATCACTTAATTTTTTTATACTTAATAGTAGCAGAATTCAAGTACTTTTATTCCTTAAGATTATGTTTTACTGTGTATGTCATCTTTTTACGTGTATGCGCATATCATCTCGTACACCTATACGACGCCTCTAATGAAAGGAAGAGCTTATACATAATACATGTGCATATCAATCGGAGATCCGCAACGCCCGTGTTAGTACACGACCATCCAAATGCTTGAAATATACTGAAACAAAAAATGATGCCAGTCATTGCAATAGTAAACCTTGAAGTACCTGGCAATCGTGATGTCTTTAGCGGCTAATGCAAGAAAATACTTCAGTTGTTCACGGGTAGAGGCTGAAAAAACGCATCGCAATGAAGTGGCAAGAAGGGATATTTATCCGGTTTTTTGCCACTGGTGATCCTGCCACATTGTCGTAATAGAAGGACAACAGCAGCGGAAAGGCCATGCTTGTTTCGTCCTCTAATGCATCTATTAGTTTGTGGCTTTGGTGAACTTGTGGGCGCAGCTTAGCGGTAGTCTGGATTATTCCTGTGTGTATTTCTTATCTCTTTCGGTTTCTGGGAATTTTCCCCACATGTAGTTTTGTCGTTAGTTATTTCACTCTGCTTCTTTCGCCTGTAAGGACTTGTTAATAAAGACACCATTCTTCCGATAGGAAATTATACTGGCGTTCACTAAACAGTAAAGGCTAAGCTAAATGGATTTGTAAGTTAAAATGTGAATGCCTAGGCCTAAAGGACGTTCACCCATTGCGGTCGAACGTAAGAGAAGAGTTAGAATTTATTGGCTTTGGCTCGCTTGCATAGTTTCCATAGAATTTAAAATAGCCTGTACTGATTATTGTAGTATAGTATGTTCTTACTTTTGGCTAGCTGGGGACTGGTCAGGAGACAGGACGTTATATGCAATTGAAATTATGGTTGTTGTCTTATTTTTACTAAAGCTACAAGCTGTAGCAGACGATCCGACAATTGAATATGTTGAACACAATGGCAGTTTATTTGATGTTGATAAAAGCAGCAATCGCTATCCTACGTGCTGTTCCCAACGATCTAGGATCGCAGATAATATTCCGTAAAAATTAGTGCTAGTACTAAAACTAGAGAATTTGAATTTAGGAAACTTCTTTTTGCCGTAACCACGATACATATATAAAGTCAATTAGCCCTTCGCGTTCCAATGTGCGGGCGCCCGTCGGCCCGGATTTAACTTCTGTAAGATTTAGCTCAGACGCATGCGGATCAACTCCCTGAGTTTGTCACTGCTGGAATGGGTCGAGCACAATGATTTAGGTCGGAGAATTTTTTTAAAGGTATGTTTCTATCGATTACCAGGCGCATAAGGACCTTAGGATTCACACATATATCTTGCTCGCTACAGAGACTGTTAAGAGGTTTTTCTATGCGCGAATTGAGGTTAACTATCGGAATTTGTTCTTGAATAATTCATCTCTGAGATCACAGTTAAATTTTCTGTGCTATAAATTGATATGTTTACAGCGTTTTATCACATTGACCGTTTAGCTAATACCAGTATAATCTGCATGGCGATTTATTTCGACGCCTATGGTATTTAGGTTGCTTATACCAAGTATAGTGAGCGGGAATTCCATACAGGTAGCAAGCAGCCTTTTATAAACGTTCGTTAGCCGTGGCTGGATGTTCTCCGCTTTAAATAGGAAGTTCTTCGTTGTCCTGCCTTTTCAGTGCGAATTTATACTACCTTAAAGCCGTTGTTACTAACCTGTTATGTTAGGCGTTCTGCGGCGGGTTAGACGGCGGTTGGTGGACCTAAGGGCACAAAAGCTTGCATAAGACGCTAACCAGCGTCACAATGTAAAGTATTTTTAGATAATTTAAGCTGAATCCACAAGGAATCTAATTTGACGTGCGTCGGCGACTTTTCATCGTATCTGTACAAACTGTATATCTTCCTTAGTGCATATATGTCCGTTATTTATTGCCTATTTATTGCTGTTCTCCTCCACTCCGGTAGATTGGCGTTTGTCTATTAAGACTTTTCCTAATCCAGTGTACTTTCGGCGTGTAAATATAGCACACAAGAAACCCCACTACTGCTACTCAAATCCGTTACCCATATCTGCTAAAGTTGGGGAAAAGTAAACCTTTTATTTTATCCGGATTTGTACCATATTTCTTCCCAGTAGAGTCAATCTGATCTCACAGACCAAACTTTCAATGTCGTCGCTGAGTTTGTCATTACCTATAATATGCAACTGAATTATAAGAGTGGGAAATTATATTTTAGCTTAGTATTCAGGTGTCTTCCTAATTCAGAGTTATAGACTCAACAACTTTTCCGCAACTGTTACAAGCCTGAATAATGAAGGTTGCTAAACATTAATAGACCTATGATCAGCTATTTTCCTTAGGTACTTTTGCGTGCTTGCGTACCGCCCATGGCCAAAAACTATTAGCACCGCTGCTTCTACCTGGCGCTTCACTAACAATGGGTATGACTTAGAAGACAGCTTTTTTCTTCATTTCTTCACACAGCGATGGCGGACGGCTTTATAGTTCGCTTAAGTGCCCTGGCACTTTGTGAAGGTCTCTTTAAGTTGCACATTTGTCCTGACGTGGTGTCACTGTCCTTGCTGAACATAAACTTAGTTGGATTACTGTGTTTATCGCATGCTGGCTTACTGGATGTGTCAGGTCTCGCTCGTCTATAGCCAGCACGCTCCGGCAGATGTCGTAAGCTGCTGTATGTTATAATAAGAACCAGCTAAACCATCTGCTATTAATGCATTGCTCGCAAGGCAACTACGGGACGTGGAATACGCACGCGGTTTGTCTACGCTGACACACGAACGGACACATAAACGCAGTAGTGTGTGTTACTCTATTCTCGTTACTAGAATAGATACTTATTAAATGTTTGGATGAAGGTTCCTGCCAAAGTACAATTTCTTGTCCACAACGTTTACTTGAACGACATGCAAAATCCGCTGTCAACCCTACCGAGAGAGAACGTATTCTGAAAACAGTTTTGCGAACTCAGATGCTGCTCAGATAGCATTACAACAGTGTGACAGTAGCAGGGTTAAAAAATGCGCGTGTATTTATTGTGTACGACTCTTAGCTAGATAACTACATCATCGAGTACGTAAAATGAATTAGGTTAACGATAGGAGTTAGAAAAAATTATTCTTCCCCAAGCATCCATAGTCCTTGAATTGTAAAGCTTTATATACATACGCAGAACAATAGCTGCTTCATAAAGTGTTGGCATTAGTGATGGTGGGCTTCATTACATAACACACTGCATCGTTTTCGTACTCAATATATCTAACCACGTTCGATTGGTCTAAAAAAAGGTTTTCGTAGTTTCAGACTTGGTTAAGCATGCAATCTGGTTTCGGTCTAGGCCACGTTATTACACGTGAACGCTAGGGGAAAATATTTTCTTGTAGGAAAGCAACCGCAAAAAACCAACGAGACTGGCATTGATAAATAAATATATATATATATATATATATATATATATATATAATGTGGCGTTGCGTTATTGACTTTGTAATATGCGGCTACGTATGGAGTAAGGCCTTACTTTGTTTAGGGCCTTATCGTCATGATGCAAATTAGATACAACCTTCGTGGGGAAGCTGCTTTGCATTTAAAAGGCATCTACGCACCAGCACCATAAGAAGAAAAAGGCTTGAGAACTTGGAGAAAAATAAACTTTCAAGTGGTATAAGTGTACGCGCACTCTCTCTGAATGTTCACCAGTACCTTATAGTTTAGTTATCCTTATCAGAAAGGCTATCTACGCGTACAAAGACCGCTTACGAATCATTTGGTAGCAGCGTTGAAACTAGCACTGGCCTTTTGTTTGAAAATGGTCGCACTTGCTATTTCCTTTAAACAACGATCGTAACGAAAATAGTCCATATAATAACTAAAAAGGCTAGCTCTGATTGATTGTTTATCTTATAGACAAGCCCTTAGTTGTTTCATCTATCTTTTTCAGTGTCAACAATTTCTATTGAAGTGCTTTTCCCCACCGGTTGCAGCAATGCTAATGTAGATAACTAATAGATACATATTTATTCTGGCAAAGACACGGGGAAAGTAAGTGGATTTCAGTGTATTACTGGCGAAAGAGTTGCAAGTTGAAACTCCATATCCGCCTATATAGCAGACAGCCCACGTTGTGAAAGACACATCGGCGATTTATAATAAAAAACAAAAAGCAGACCAGTCATGTGTTCTTGAGATATAAAAAAAAAAAAAAACTGGCAACAAGTAACATTCCAATTATGAATAATGTTGATATTAACTGACCGCTTGACGCTACGAAAACATGTACCCCACGTTCTTATTGTGTCTTAACTTAATGCATATTAGGATTTGAAAAGGTACCTTTAGAAAATCGACCGAGTAGATTGTTTCGAGGTGTATAAAATTAAGATAACGTTCCACCAGCCCAGAAGATGCATCATTTTCCTATCAAGGCTAATCTTGTTGATGTTATTACGGTCTATATACTAGACACGTCGAGGTGAGGCTGGGCATTTTTGAACTGGCATACCTTCAAAATAATGCGTCGCTGGAAAACTACGTTTTGCTCGTTAGCAGTATAAACACTTGGTTTTGATTTGATTATGAATCTTCGGTTAAAGTTTTGGTGATATACATTTGTGTTGATAGTATAGATCTTACATCGGCACCCCAAGGCAGAACAAAAGATTTATGATATTCTTTTTTCCTCTGGATATCTGATGGACATATTTGGTTTAAAAACACGGTCCGTTTCTGTCGAATTGAATTTAGGGCATATTAGAGGGAACTTTTTTCTCGAGTCCTACGACTCACGGGCATGAAGAATTTCCGGGCTATAATCACGATCTGGATTGAGGATCACAATACAAACTGCAAGTGTGTTTTACAGACTCATACTCATTTAACTATACTTCTTAACGTTAGAAGCGACAAAGGTGACGAAAAAACAAGCAAATGCCAGTTTGCCGCGTGAAGTACTTGATACTGAGATCAGCTATAGCAGATACAGAATCGTCTGGAGGGCTAATTTTGATCAGTAAATAATAACGAATAGTTAGATCATGTTAAAGGCCTTTCGATTTCAGAAGTTATCGCAGTTTAAGGTAATGGGCCAGTACTCACAGAAACTTGGTACTAGTGCACGTATTGTTGAGTTCATATTGAGATGATGGTAACCAGAAAGCCAAGGACCAGGATAGTTTCCAAATAAACTCAAGTGTTCACACACTTTAAGTCATTGTAGCATTGGAGTTTAAGTCATCGTAGCAATGAGTCTGAAAACGCTAAAACTGAACGCTTTTTGTGGTTCCTCAGTTTGAATGTATGTGAATTCCATAGCTGTAGTTGTACAAGCCTGTTATTATGTCCTTTGAGCACTGCTGTTAATTGGCGAGCCCTGCCAATCAACTAGCGTGACCAGCAAATTTATGAAATTCTGTGTCTCTCTGAGAAGTAAACTAGTTTCTTTTGCCTCTTCCTAATGAAACTCTTCCCTATCAGCAAGCATGTGATTAAGGAAAAACCATCACGTAAGGATTCCCTGCAGGCTCAATAATATGTTGTTAAATGATCTATAATTTTTTCCAAATTGTTTTAAAATTGGGAGAGGCATTCCTAGTGGCTGATAACTCGAAACCTGATCTTTTAATGATAAATGATTCTAAAGTGTTGAACAGCATCGGTCCAAATATTTGCTCAAGTTTTGTAAACAAGCTACTCGAGAAACCAGAACCTATGGTCATAGCTATAGCGTCCGTGAAACAAAAAGTTAGGCCGATTTATCGGTTAGCTGTTGTTTTTGTTCATAGACCTGCGTGAAACTCTATTCTCTGATCTCATCAGGAAAGCCTGACAGCAGCCCGTACAGGTTATATGAGAGCCGCCAAACCTCTTCCAGTGGTTTATTTCTATGTCGCCAAACTTTAAGTATTCAACCTTAATCATGAGAGTAGTAAGTATGAAAGTTGACCAAGATTTTTTTCGATAGCTCGATTAACGCGACGATGTTTCTTCAGCCTTCCTATATAGGACAAATAAGGTCGACAACCAACATGAGAACATCTAATAAAAAGTAAAATAAACCTTTAGATACACCAACTTGAGGGGAAACAAAGTCTTTCTTAGTGAGCCAGTATAGATACTGGCTCACTAAGAAATAGATAGACAATGGCTACGAACTCAAGTTCCGGGCCTAACAATCCTTTTAAAGGACACGTCATTCTAGGCCGTTCGGTGAATTTTCTAACTAATATATTAAACTACTTTCAAAACTGTAATCGTTATGAGCCGTTACCAGAATCTGACAATAGGTTCAGCCTTCATATAGCGGTTGCCTGCTGTAGCCGGATTCTAGATGAAACTGTATACAGGGCTGAATTGATATCGACCGGATGACTCAGCGAGCTGGCAAAGCTCTAGACATTTAGATATTATACAGCCAAATCATAATAGTCCGAGATGTCTCAATATTAGAGAACGAGAATGCACAATGAGGCTCATCGCTGACGATGCCAGTGGTATCGGAGCTCCAACTCTAATAGCAAACAATTTTAGTTTATACCTTATATTCTCCCTTAAAAGTCCGTGATTCAAGTAAAAATATGCTAATTGTTTTTCTTTTAATTATAGATTTGACTGAACTGAAACCAGTTGAACGTTTGTGGTACGACAAACGTGTCATACCGAACGTAGAGGACCGCATGATAGAAAGTAGGTATAAATACGTAAATAAATTCAGTTCATTACAGTTAAGTGTAGTACTGTTATTCGTAGAATAATAGAGAATGACGATGTTGTTTTAGAGGATAGATAAACGTCTACTATAAATGTGATAATGGTGATTTCCCTGTGGAACACTACCATAGCTACTACTGACCTGTCATAATCAGCTGACAGGTAGTAATAACTATACGCTTGGCATACTGATAGCCGGAACGAGTATTATCAGATTGATGTCAGATATTTGACATCTCGTGCAGCAAGACACGCATTTTCCATGATCTATCGGGATATATACTTGTCTTTGAAAAAAAAGCCTTCAGACGGTCATTGTTTCCCTCGTTGTTGGCTAACGAGCGTTGAGAGTCACAGCAAATTCGACGGCAGGAAACAGATCTGTTCAGTGTTAGATCACTCGCCATGGTAAAAATTGATCAAAATAGGTGACGCAGTAATAGCTCTCGAGAAAGCTTATAGCGAACGGTCGGACGATATCAGCAGACATAGAAGCGGTAAAAACCAACGTTGATTACCACCCTCAAAGGTCAAACCCGCGCCGATGATCAGATTTTTCGCGACTATCAAACGATACGACGAAAGAAATGAGAATAGCAGAAACAGCGAGGTGTCATGATTAGAAAAACAGCATGTTTTTCTATTGAATTGCCAGTCGAGGCACGTACACGTGGTCATTATGAATTCCATGCGATAGTGCAGTAGTGGCGGCAGTGCTTGCACACCACACTTAGGATTTAGGTTCGAAACAGGGAGCACACACTTCACTTCACGCACAAAAAACTCACATAGCACAAAACAAGAAACATCAATGATTTATTAACGTAGTTCCTATGGGAGCAAATCCATCTTCCATGGTACGGCGTAATGATCTAATTCTAGTTTAATCTTTACTGATAGATAAAAACTTTTGAAACCTGTTACTTTTATATTAAATATTATACTTTACGTCTCTGCAGTGAGTCCGTCCGTCCGTCCGTACCTTCAGTGATACAACTGCATATTGCCGAAACGAGCAAGGCCACAGCAAAGCCTCTTAAATCGTTTAACGATCGAAGCAATGAACGCCTCAGCGGCCTTTAATCTTAAGGACCGAATAAAGGAGTCGTTGTAATCCGGACATGCCATCACAAGATTTCAGTTATTCACAAAGAATAGATCCTGCCGAAGGTATTACCTTTCTATGTTGTGCTGTACTTCTAGCGTTAATTACGATTAGTCAGTATTTAGTAGATTGTGCAATAATGCCCACAACATTTTGCCCACTATAAAGCGTGCTTTACGTTTCTTCAGGTTCTGCAAAAAGCCTCTGCGCATGAACGTCTGTCTCTTGAACAACAGGTTGATCTAAATTTCCATACTCCTAGCTCTAGCATAGGTAATACGCTCTTCAATGTAACTAATTCAGTCATGTACAGAAATATATACGTCAACTGTTTTAATCACGAGTAAACAGAATGATCGCACCGCATAGTTAGACGATAAAAAAATCAGATAGCAGCTAAAGAAATAGGAGGACTAATCGGGCATTAGATGATAACCATATATTGATCAAAGGGTATGAGTTGTGGATATCCCCGTAGAATCCTTTCAAGCATTGACTGATGCCTAGCGAAATCTACAAAACAACATAGTTTTAAGGGCTAAACTGCTATTTTACTTTGTTGGTTATTATTTTGCGAAACGTTTTTCAGTGAAAAAAAAAAACACATGGTAATGGTACGTTTGTCATAATCGGGCCACATCCGTTTTTATACAACAAGATGTTGATGTTCATACTCGAATGGGTCAAATTATTTCGGTCAACTGTTAACTAACGGAAGCTGGAATCGCACTACGTAGTCCTAATGCCTATATTATATATACAAATATATATATAAATAAAACATTGCTTGTCAAAATACAAATCAGCTAGAATAAGTATACAGTTTTTGCCTACTCACACATATTTGTCTACATTTCATTTTTAACTAAGAGATTTATTGCCGCGCGAAAAAACAAAGTCCCTAGCTTTTATTATATTAAGACCATATACGCCGGAGGTTAAAGTCAACCTATTAAATACCTCAGTATTATGTAACAGAGTTTTTTTACCTCGATGATAAAAGCTCGATTTATTTTTTGGGGCCTAATCAATGCTTAGGTGCCATATTTAACCAATCATCTGGTAAACTAAGGAGTACTGAATATGTGTCTTTTTGAAGCAGTCTTTATTTCATTTAACCGCTTATATTTATAAGCAGTTTTTTAATTTACGATTGAAACAAAACAGAGGACTCTGGGAGAATCTATAGCATTTTTTTAAGAGACTTCACAATACCTTACGTCCTAATTAATTTTTCCTATACCTATTCGCATTTAGCTAAAATACAATATTATTCATTTATTTTAATGTGTATTTTAAAAATATTATACATTCGAAACCTTGAAATCTTAGACTCTTTGAGGCACATGGCACTCAGATTATAATCGGCATTTAGAGGGCGAGGATTCCCTAGGATAGAGGATGGTGACTTTTTGAAAAAATTAAAAAAAACATATTTTACTAATGTAACTACTCGAAAATAAGGGAAAAATATAGATTGTTTTTTAAACGGTCGGAGTTGTTACATTTCCAAATTGTTACTATATTGCTTCATTTGTGAGTGAGCCCTTTTCATCCGAAGGTTTCACGGCGCTACAATTAATGGAACCAAAGGTAGTCCTTAAAGCTTCGAGGGCCTTCGATTCGGACTGTAAGATCCTGCAAAGATCAGTGTGAGCGCAGCCTTTTCGAAGAATAGGTTCTCCACTAGGCTAAAGTGGTCCTCGTTCGGAATAATTTGAACGAATTTTTTACGAAAACGTTTCCGTTGCATCGACGCTGCAAAATGCTCCGCTTGCTTACGGAATCCTGGAGGATCATATTGACTCACAACTAACTGTAGATCCATTATATCGTAGCAGGGATGGGGAGTAATCGAATACTTTTCGCACTGCCAAGTAAGAAAGAAAAGCCCAAGTTTATTTAATATGCCCTTCAGTGAGAGTTATATACATGTTTTTTTCTAATATATTACATTGATTTAACAGCATTTAAAATAAGGCTATTGAGGGGTTGGATTTCGAGAACGCAAAGTACATTTCAAGCAGATTGGTTAGTCAGAAGTAAAACATTTATAGGATGATATCAATATCATTTTCTTGCGCCTCGTTTCAAATATGAGTCAGCCATTATATGTAGAAGTAGGGGTATGCAGGGCGACCCGGCTGCCTCGGAACGACCTAAGGCACATGCAAGAAACCAAGCCTAATGACACTTTGTTTCATATAGGAAAGATACAGCCATAGTTATACTAAAATTACACTGTCTGTAGACATTTGTTCGGATTGTTATGTTTATTTTCTATGCAGGCAAGTCGATGGCAAGAATAGTTGAGGTTATATTCGTAAAACATTACAGCGAACGTACCTGTTCCTTTGTAAAGCCGACCTGGACGCCAACTGAGGTATGCATGACTTCCCAGAGCGAATATATACCCGAAACACTGAACACTTTTCGAATGCCCTGCAGACTTGCCAGGCGAGGCAAAGCTGCCATAAGCAGGTGTCCTCCAGCGCTGTGTCCTACACCGATAGGCAGGACTCGATATAATATTTACATTATGTATAATGCAGGACGACCCGTCGTCATTGAATAAAAGAGAACATCTATATACGCACACACTGTGCTTAACAGCGAATGACAGAGTCGCGGTGAATTTGTGATATCAAGGCACGAATCGCGATAAATTATATACATAATAGCAATAAATCTGCTGTTCGATATTATTCAATGAAACCAAAATCGGACAACTTTGTCTGATAAAGCTTGTTCGTAGATGTTCCCCCAAGATTCATAAGGCGAAAGAAATACTTCGAAGCATTCGTACCTGCCAAAAATATGTTGCTTGTCGGAAACGTTTCTTGTATCTTCTCAATGCCCAGAACCACATCATCAACACAATTATCAAGACCCGATCCTTTAGTGGCTAGACGATAGCCTAAGGTAATCACGCTGATGTTGTGAAGATGCATGCCTCGTGCAACAAAGTTATGCATATGACGATCCCCTACCACCGCAAATAGAATAATGATAACATCTTCACGAGCATCAATACCGAATTTAATGTATAAATTTACAAAATCAAAATAGTTAGACGGACTAGGCAACTTCTATTATAATGGCTTTGTTTCGTTAGAAAGTTTCAGTATTCAAAATCCCTAAGCGTCAGACTAGTAACGCTGACTGAAACAGTCCTTATATGCGCAAAGAAGCTTCAGTCGAGATTACAATGTGCCTACCTTCTATCCAGTAGCCTCCATGGATGAAGACAAGCATTGTGTCATTCTGTCTAGTCCCACTACAGCGCATCACATTTAGACCTTGCCTTTCGTCTGGGCCGTACGCAACATGCTCTATCGGCCCCGTAAGGCCTATATTTTGGTTTTGAATCTCGTATAGTTGCAAACACCTGCCCGGACAAGTTTATTTTAAATTAGACAGTGTCACACTTCTCTGCACGCTGATGAAACTTGTACAGTAAGTAAATCGTCATACACATTGGAAACAATATCGGCAAGTTGAATTCTATTAATTTACTCAAAAACTGATAGCTCCCGTATAATACCACACGAGCCGGATGGTGGCAATAGTTAATTTTCTTTCAAGGATTCCGTCTCTATGCCATCAAGTATGAAGTCAATGGATACATTGTGTTGGCTCGAGCTTTCAGATCCCACACATTTAAAAGCTCCTGTCAAATTTGAACATAGAGAAATGTGCCTAAATAAGAGCACAATGCTGTGATGAATAGCTCAATGGGTGGGATAAAAGATACTGTATTAATGGAAAATCGTTTGAAGCGTCTACCTTAGAAGTCTGGCAGTGCCTCTAAGGCCCATCGACCATTTGGTGGGGTTGTACATCTCGTCGACATCTTTGTCGACTGACATTGGTTCCATTTCTGAAAGTAACTATATTATAGATCAATCATAATTAAACATTAGATGTTTGACTAGATCAAAAAGTGTTTGGGTTTCCACTCTGTGACTAGCCAAATATATATTAAGCGTAAACTATTTGCCGTTCTGGTAATTGATATCGTTTCCATGATAGCGTAGCGGCAACAGCTAGTATACTCAGATATACGTGAAGTGACCTAGGCTGGAAACCGGCTGTATTGATGTACACCCTCATTTTTACTGAACAATGATAATTAAATTGAGCGATAATCCCTGCATGTCTAGTGAATTTGGAACGAAAGATCAATGCTGAATTAAACTATTGAGCCAAGATCCCACTTTTGGATATTGACAAATAGTCACCACAAAAATACACGCAGGCTTTGTTTGTTTGAGTGTTTTTTGATATGGGTTATTTTTTTTTTTTTTTTCTAAATAAACTCAGCTTTACGTATGGGATGAAATAAAAAGCAGGCTCTATGAGTTAGCGTTTAGAATTCACGAGGTAACGCTAAGGTAGGGCGTTACTTGCGAGGTTAAACTGGAGCTATATTCAAAGATTGCGTAATACTGCCATGATTATTCCTCATGACATACTCGCACCTCATGCGCGATACATTCGTTGCATACTTGGAACAAAGTGTTTGTACAATACGAAAGAATGCAGTGCACGATTTAGAATGTGATGATTTAACGTCTCCGGCCGACTACGGTTGATGCCGTTGCTCCTAACTCACTAAAGCTGTACCTGCATAGAAATATTCGCGTCTGTTTCACATAATACTTTCAGTAGTAACGTTTGTTCGGCAAATATTCATTTGTAGCAATATAATAATATCCGTCGACGCTGAAGAGCGCTCTTGTCAACCGTATCAACCACTAGATAATACCAACTAATGCCAATAGAGCTAAACACAAAACTCGTCTATTCATCAATGTTGAATTTGATCATTTCACATACCCTTCGATCCGTATGATGTTCAACAACGGGAAATTAGCATCACTTTGCATAATCTACTCGTGCTCCTGGTCACCGTTGGGTGTCTCACTCTGTTGTCTTTCGAAGGGATCGCGGTCGTCGTCAGACGGCGGTGGGCCCGCTGTAGATACGCGCTGTTGATTGCCACTTTGTTTGGACAGTGTTACGAACATAACTCCACAGACGAACGAAACCAATACGTCACAGATTAATGCGACACTGTCCGATAAGCATCCTGTTAGCAGCCACTGCTGGATTCGCATATATATCTCTAGCTATTTCTCTGATTAGTCCGTCTGCTAATCTTATCGTGGAGCATATCTATCCATCAGTCAGCAACTACTAATTGAGGACCGAGAAACCAACGCCAGACGCTAATGTAGAGCGTACGGGCCGTATCGAAGCTTTCATTCGTATCTAGTCAGCCACTCATATTAAGTAGTAAAAGTGTGACGACTCTTTCTTGTTTGTCGTAGACTGTGTACGAGATTCAAGATGCTTCTCATCTAACTCTCACTCCTCGTTAGCTAAGCGAAAAACGCGTTCAGTGCTGCCCTTAGTGGACACACGAGAATTATTATCTCAGATTTACTCAACTCTATGCTATTAATCAATTACAGATCAACATAAAACGCTGCGTGCACGTGGCCACAAATAGAATTTACGTCTAGAACCGTATATTCATGATCTCTGGTAGGACATTTTTTTAGATACTTTATCTGACAAGCTGTAATTGGATTCTACAGTTTAACTAGTAAGGCTATGTTCAGTGAAGATGTGCTATCTAACGCAGATGCTCACCATCTTCGTCTGAGTCTTCCGAGCGGACTTTCTTTTATGTAAGTGATACTTCGGAACCACTGTTCCGTATCGATTTACACAATACCAGAACGGACCTTATTTGGGCCAGAATCCTTCGCTTATTAGCAACTCTGATAATCAGATGTAAAAATCATTTCTCACGAATCAGACGACCCGTATATATGGGCTTAAACCTTAAAATGAGGCCCAGTTAAGATGTAAACCGCATCGCTTTATAGCCAATTTACATGAACGGTTGAACGGTATATTAGTAGAATGAACTAACTCGTTTGTCGAAAGAACTAGTAAAATTTGTATACACAATCAAGGTTGTCCTAGAATATGTTTAAAAGCGTCAAACGAATACTTGTTCGCCTAAGAACATTTAAGTTTCGCTAGCCCGTCTGGCTTAACGCTGACATCTCTAAGCGGGCTCGTACTTGAACAAGCGGAGAGGCGCGGATGAGATAAAGGCAAACCCGCAGGCGCAGCTGCCTAGGCGAGGCTGCCGCCGGCCGACCAGCGCCATGCTATAGGTAGTACTGATACTTATTCTCTTTGGACTCCTGTTTGGTCGTGTACATCCGTATGCGAGCTCCAAGGATATGCAATTCGCGTGTTCATCAGAATTTCCCGGGAGGCTCCCATTTCTTAACTGACCAGCAGCACGGAAAAACACAGCAGACGAGTAACGGACACAACATAGCATCCATCCTATAACATTATTATCCCTTTAGCCACTGCCGCTATAGCAAATGAGATGAGATAACACGCAATTAAGAGTTCGAGCGGCCAGCCACAGTCCTAGGAATTGCTAGGCTACACGATGATACGCATTGAGGTAGCTACAATACAACGACTGCTATACCCGTCGTATACCCGAACCTTTCATTGTGGATCCATAAGCTGGCTAGTAAGCATCCCATTGTAGCCAAGTGGAAAATTACACATTTAAACACACACATATTATAGGGCAAGCTAGGACAAAGGAGAAGAACCGTTACCGTTTCGATGGCAATGTTGCACAAATTATAGGTTTGTATCATCCACCCGCTGTCTGCCTAATATGATGATGCAAGGCTGAATCTAGCATATTACTGAGAAAAAAAAAGAGAAAAAAACGCGTCTCGTAAAACCGACTGGGTCAACTTATCCACGGTCGATATCAGCAAGCATCATATCTAAAAAAGAAAAACTGTCAGAAGGAAACGTATGGTGAACTGTACCAAAACGTTATTGCGCCTGTCTCACATTGTGCCGTGGAAGGCAGTTCGTTGCTTGAAAGATCGAACTTGATGTTTTCAAGTTTTAAGGCTTGATATGAGTCGTTGTTCAAATTGATCTATAGAACAGGCAAACATTTATAAAGACCGTTGAACGCTAGGAACGATGAATAGGTTTACGGCCAGTACCATCTATTTCCCGATTTGAATTTTGTGACTAGCATTAGTTGGGAGGGTATTAGAGACACAATGGGCTCGATCCTGGTTTAGATTGAGTAGTATGAAATGGCTTGCTATGTTTCTTGCAGACACGGCATTAACCACTCATATTTGAAGGTATTTACTGTAGTGCTTGGAAAAACCGTTCGTCGTTTCCAATAGTGTTTGATAGTTAGTAGACCCTGTTTATCAACTGGCTCCACCCCTGTAATGCAATGAATATTGATACTTTATTCTAAACGTGTCTTCTCAGTGATATTATGGGCAGGATAGATGTTTCGGTAGTAAACGGTACGGCCTTAGTTTGTAGGTCGAATGAGGCACGAATTTTATTCGTGTCTTTTGGAGTTTTAAAAGCTACGTCCATGAGCTATTTCATTCACATCAATCCGAGTCGGCATATTAAGATGCTTTCCGAAACCTCAAGGAGGTACGGTAGCTCTGCTAGGAATCATTTTTACTGGCGCACATTCGAATCGTTTGATACAACTGTTTAATAGAGGTGATACCTCTCAGTTGTGGAAATTTATTGAAGAATCTTTGTGGCAACGGGGAAATTGAAAGTTATGGTTTATTTCGATTTGAGGCAAAGCTTTAGGATTCTTAAGCTATTTGAAGCTATGAGAACGCACTTTTACAGAGTTTCTAACTAATTTGCGAGGTAGTAAACCTCAATCTGATATTTAGACTAAATCTTGTCAGTATATTCACATTTCAGAAGGTTTTCGAATACAATCTCAAGACGGGATTGTAGGACTAGTAGTGGAAAACGTTAGTAGTTGCAAGCTGAAACCGAAACAAAACTCGAAATGCTTACTTTGAAACTGCTAAAAATGCCTTAGAATATTTCAGTTAATTGGTTGGTGTAAACAATTAACACTGTTTTTTTTTTCTGTTCGATTGAAAAACGTGAAATCGGGCTGGAAGAAGCTGCTCGACAACCCTTGTCGCTTAGACGTCCAAATCCAAATCGAGAAGATGATGACTAGCAAAGACATCGGAAGCCCTTACAGTGCCCTCATTTAGTCAGTTTGCAAGTTCTGGCCAGTCTTTTCAAAGGTCACGGTTGAGGACAGGCGCTTTGGCATACCTTTGATACGGAATTTTCCGATACGATGAAGAATAAGTGGTCTTCCTTGGGGCGTTTGCATACTTTATGGCAGCCTTTAGCTGCCTACGCGCATCTATAGTTTTACAAAATTTTCAGTTGGGGATTGACCTCAATCGAGTTAAACTCGCACTTAGTCTGAAGAAGACAGGCCGTTTAGCTGAATCGTATTAAGAGCTACGTGAAGAAAGTCAGTGTCGGAGCCCTTTAGGTATATCTGCGTGGGCTCTGGATGTTCGTCATTTTTGTAAATACGGTTCTGTTAAAAATCGAGTCTGACAACTACTGTAAAAGATGGCATACGTAGATGACACGCCTATGTTATTGGTCACAGATCCATTAGGTTCGCTGCTGCTCTGGAAGATGCCCCTGGGCATTGAAGAATATTTTTCAAGACCTCCAGAAGGTCTTGTTGTTAGTACCTACCACCGGGTCTGATCCTGTTCCTTAGACGAGAAATAATTATCAAATGAATAGGCGTAGGTTTTGTTGCCTCAGGCTACTAGATGCTCTCGGCTAACCCTTTAAGGAATAATAGGACAGTCCGCTCATTTGTCAGCGCAAACGCCTAAATGCTATGCAATTATCGTGACTTCGAGAAGACTGCTGTTTTTATGAAAGGTTCCCTTCTGGTCTCTATAGCGTTTCTAGTGATATGCTATGCGCTTCCAATATGAGGAGGTAGCTAGCAGAGAGTATCCCGTAGGGTTCAAATCGTTCAGAACGACAGCGGTGTTACGTAGGGGTCGTGGAGTTTTTCCTGTTGCTTATGCATGTCGAACTATTTGTTCTTCGTTGATAAAATATGTACAATGCTGTTTGCCCTGTGTGCTTTTAAAATGCCCGGAGGTACTATGACTTTGTTAGAAATCTCTTCTTCGCTCACTATAGTTATCAGCCGTTCTCACAGCCGCAGGACCGCGTAAATAAGAGAACACGTAAATCGAATGTACATTCAGAACGTTTATATTCAAACATATATGCATAAATTTGCGGATACTGTTATTATATAATTTGGATTAATACACACGATAAAAACCCTGTCGTACGAACCAGCTGTTTCTCTTACTATTATCTTTACTCAAACTCGGACATTTTCATAACTGCAATTCGGCCAATAACTCAATGTTTGCTATATATATTTCTATATTATTATATTGACTATTATTATATAATATATACATTACACTTATTATATTGATTCTTTATTTCTACAGAGTGACCATCTATGACCAACGCGCTACATAAGAATCGATCTCCTATGAGGAATCACTGGTATATTATAATGGTTTGAATTCAAGCTAACCAACTTCTGCCAACATAAAAAAGGTGACTTTAGCAGAGTTTACGTGCTATAGGCTTAACCCCACGTATAGGGCTTTCCGTTCGTGTTGTGATCCAGCCATCGGCTAGAATGCTTGGCGTCGGTGCCGAACGTAAAAGTCGAAATGTTGAAGTACCACTGGCCACTTTCTTACGCTCCATTTGGAATAGACAAGCTGCGTTGTGTTTAACTTATTTAAATCTTCTATCGGAAGCATAAGTCTAAACCAAGACTATTCTCGCGGCTAGTACTCGGCTACTTCACCTTAAATATAAGCATAGATACTAGCATACTGTAGTGCTTCAGAGGTCCGTCGGGGAGAAGACTAAATGCAATTGGAACAATTGAGCAGGGAGAAGAGTTACAATATTTATCGTCTTCCATAATGCGGATTTTTCAGAATGAAAGGGTGTTTAGGCCCAAGTTTAAAGCCAGATTACTTTAAATGTCTCTCCGGTTGGCGAGTAAACTTGTTACCATAACATTATCACAATGACCTTTGTCACATTAGTAGGCTACATAAAACATGCGGCTGTTCGGATTAAGAATATCAGAAGAGTTCGCTGGAACAGCAACGGTACCAGTGAGACAAGCTGCGCCTAGAGCATAACATAGCACCTTAATGCATATCCTTTACTGATAAAGAACGCTCATTTATATTCTAGTCTGATGCGTATTCATTACGCCATTGGTCGTATAATAATGC